TTTTTTTTTTTCAGAAACATTCCTAGGTTAGATATCCAATTAAGGACAGAAAAATAATGACCAAAAAAAAAATCTTTACTAGGTTTTACAAAGCAATGGAAGATGGTGATTTGTCTAATTTTGAATTCTGAATAGTTAATATTTCATCATGCACAGTCTTAACATCAATGCTTAAGTTGTCATGTGACTATCTTTGTCTGGGGAACAATATGATCAGCAGTAGCATGCATTCAACAGAGACAATATAGCGAGAAACAATTCTTTTTATAAAATTTATTTGTTTTTTATTAATTACAGTTATTCACTTTGTATCCCAGCTATAGCCCCCTCATACCCCTCCTACCCTCCCAATTCCATTCTCCCTCCTTCATATCCTCCCATGCCTCTCCCCCAGTCCACTAATAGGGGAGGTCCTCCTCCCATTCCCTCTGACTCTATCCTTTCAGGTCTCATCAGGACTGGCTGCATTGTCTTCCTCTGTGGCCTGGTAAGGCTGCTCCCCTATCAGGGGAAGGTGATCAAAGAGCCAGCCACTAAGTTCATGTCAGAGACAGTCCCTGTTCCCATTACTAGGGAACCCACTTGGAGACTGAGCTGCCATGTGCTACATCTGTGCAGGGGTTCTAGGTTATCTCTATGAATGGTCATTGGTTGGAATATCAGTCTCAGAAAAGATTCCTTTGCCCAGACTTTTTGGTTCTGTTGTTCTCCTTGTGGAGCTCCTGTCCACTCCAGGTCTTTCTATCTCCTCTTTCTTTCATAAGATTCCCTGCACTCTGCCCAAAATTTGGTTATGAGTCTCAGCATCTGCTTTGATACACTGCTGGGTAGAGTCTTTCAGAGGCCCTCTGTGGTAGGCTCCTGTCCTGTTCCCTGTTTTCTTCCTCTTCCTATATCCATCCTGGTTGCCTTTCTGAGTGAGGATTGATGATCTTACCCAGGGTCCTCCTTCTTGCTTAGCTTCTTTAGGTGTACAGATTTTAGTGTGAAGAAACAATTCTTAAGTCACACCCTTTCCCTGAGATTTCAACAATTCTTTTCTTTCAGTTACCAGTTTCTTCATTTGAGTCATTGTTGGTAGGGATACACTCACTATTCTTGGACCAACTAGTTTGTCACCTGATGTAGCCTCTATAGATGCTTTGCAACTTCTTATAAATCTTCACAGGTCAAGTCATTCTTTCAGGTCCACATTGGCTTTTCTGTACCCTGAGGAAAAACACAAACATAGCCTCAGTGAATTACTGGATCTGTGCCATTCCATTGCTTGACAACATCTCTCTACAGGACCCTGAACATGAAATTTTTATTGGAGGGA